ACTCAGCTTGATTTCTTAATTTTAGTGCAGCTATCTACCAGCACTTGAAGGCTCCGACATTTGCAACCCTGCCATCTTTTTTGGCAACTGGTCGGAACAAAACAAACAAGACTGCTCGTATCAGCGCGAAGCCCTGAAAGTTCCGACTGCCTTTTAAGGTCTATGGAGCATTAATAAGATGAAAAAATTCAAAGTAATAAAAAAAATAAAAAAAATTTTGAAAAAATTTGAGATTTTATGTAAAAACATCCACCCACACGTCATATTAAGTACAAAGTGATAGATTTTGCGCCTATTAACAAATCAATTATGGCATATAAGCTTCCTTGAACCAATTTGGAACGATTTCTAAGACGGATTAAATCTCGCTTACGCGTTAATAACGCGAAATTTATCGCGCGTTAATTGTCCCAAATTGGCCAAAATGGCAATCTTTAAACCCCCAGAGCTTAACGAAAAATGATCACAGGTGAAATATCTTTTCACATTCAAGCTCAGGACAACAATAGCTTTCGAATGATATTAAGAAATTGCGTCAAAAACGGCTAGTTAAAAAGTCGAAATTTGTCTGAAGAAAAAAAAACCCACCCCGAGCACAAATATTCCGTTACTTTCGTATCGAAAGTCGGAACAACAAAAGAGCAACCTGTACATACTGTTCCAAGACGCCAGTGCAGAAAAAAAAAGAAATTTCTTGACGACAGTTTGCTAAGTAATCCCGTTTCCAGGCGACCGTCAAACTGCGAAACAACAAGTGACAAAACTTATGATTCTATAAAAGCCATAAAAATTTACAAGGAGGCAGAATTTTCTTTTCATTGCACAAAACGCTGAGAACAAGCAACAAAACCAAATTGTAATGAATGTAATTTGGTTTGATCGTACTTTAACAGTTCGTTTAAAATGATTTTTTAAAATGGAAACAACATTTCTGTAGATAGCAACATTCATCAAATTTAAATCATTCATTCTAAATTTGTCTGAAAAACGAAATATTTTCGACCATCTTTTCACGAACATTTTTTTTTCATTTTTTAAAAAAAACTTGCCAAGGGCAGAAATTTGCGGTTTTTCCTAAAATGAAAATCTGTGAATTTTATGAGAATCGTCTGTTAGGAAAGTTTGTTTAAAAACTATACCAGAGTATTAACCACAATTTACCTCGAAAAATTAAAACAGTTGGTTGTTTAAAAGCTTAGGTTGAGAAAAATACATTTCTGAAAACAATTTACTTAATATAAACAGGATAGCTGGTTACTGCGCAAGTAGCACAGGATGTTCCAACCAGTCTTAAAAATCACAACAAAATTAATTTTTCAAATTAGTGTCGTTTTTTTGACGTGGTGTGATAAAGGAATTCGACCAAAAAAGTAGAGCTTAAGCATTTTGCTCAGTCATTAAAGAATATGCATATTGGAAAACAATTTTTGAAAACAAATAACAAAAAATAACAAAAAAAAAATAGAAAAAAAATTCAAATTTTCTTTTAATTTTTCAATAATTTTTTTTCGCAAATTTTTGAAGTTTTTGATTCCTAAGATGAAGCTAAAAACTCCAAAAACCAGCTTCATTTGAGTAAAAACAAATTTTCATGTCTTAAATTAAGCATAAATAAGTTAATGTAAGACTGCTCATTCACTCGAAGTTGGACGAAAAAACAAAAATTTCAAACCGGTTTTTCTCGACACTAGAAAAAAATGTTGGGAATTTTTTAATGCGGTTCGAATGAAAGTGCTTCATTATGATGTATCACTCAACCCAGTCCAATGATTAATTTCGGTACCTTATTTTGAATGGAAAACGAAAAGAAAAAAACTAAAACAAACCCGAATACGAAGTTCCTCCCCATTTTCAATGATCGGAACAATTGTCTTTATTGTTCCGATCATTGAAAATGGGGAGGAATTTCGTATTCGGGTTTGTTTTAGTTTTTTTCTTTTTGTTTTCCATTCAAAATAAGGTAGATTGTTGCAACTCAGAACAATGGCATGATAGAAGGCAAGTATCAAAAGATTTCAAATTCAAATTGAAACAAGACTGCTCTTATATCAGGGCAATAACGAAGATAAAGTGTAAAAATTTGAGTCGTACGAAAATAATACGACCAACCAGCTAGCCTCAATTTAATTTGGAACAATTTTGTTGGGCGGGAGTATTCAGCAGGCATAAATAAATAGCGTTACGCTTTTAACTTTATGAATATCATCTTCAAAACGCGCTTAAGTTGGTCCAGAGCATGACAAAATTGGAAGTTTTTAAACTCCGAAACTTTGCAAAAAATGATCATATGTAAAATATCTTTTGATATTTTATTTCAGGGAGTCAACATCTTCAGTAGTGTACAAAGTTTTTTTTTGTCAAAAACTATTATTTCGATCGCCGCAAACTGACTGAAGAAAAACAAAACACCCCAAGCATAAATAATCCGTTTTCTTCGAAAGTCGAAACAACAAGACTGCTCGTATTTCAGGGCGAAGTCCTGAATGTTCCAACTGCAACTTAAGGTAAATTTGGTTGCAAAATTGACAAAAATATTGAGAAGTAAAAAAATTATTTTTCTTCAAATTATCCGCCCAAAATTTTATCAACAAAGGGAGTCTTTTATTCTAATAGTTCAATATTGAATGCAATAACCCATCGCTTAAGCGTGTTATAAGAATGCAAAATGTCGCTCGTTAATTATCCGAAATTGGCCAAATTAGATAAAAAATGATCACAAGACATCAGTATTTTTCAGATGGTATTAAAAAGTTTGTCAAAATTGTTTAGTTAAAAAGTCGAAAATTGACTGAATGAAAAATTCACACCAAGCATAAATATTCCGCACTTTCTTCGAAAGTCACCACAAAAATTACGATCAGAAGCAGCCAAATTTCAAAAATTAAATAAGAAGGTTGAAGCTTTAGCAGCCGCATACAGATATTTAAGGAAAATCTAGACATTTAAAGGGTTTGATATTGAAACGGCATATTCAATTGGTTTGATTTTACAGTAACAGTTCGCTAATGATACAAGTTAACTGCGGATTTGCTAGGTCTGTTATACACAATGGAGTACTTACGCATGAAATGGTCCGATCAAAATTAATGATTAAAAACTGATTAGCCTAACTATACGAAGACTGCACCGAATCAATTTTGATAGAACAAGTTCCAGTCTCTAGATTTTTTAACAAGACATTTTTTTTTGATTTTATAAATTTCCACCTCTATGTATTCTTAAAAACAAATGAATTTGTTCAACTGGTCACAAACATGAACCCTGCGAAATTTTTTTAGCCCGAAAAACAACAGCTCGCCAGACAGGTGTGTAAAAATGCTCATAAAAATGAAAAAGTTAGGAAATATTCAATGAATATAATCAACATCAGATTGTTTGTACGGAAACCGCACTTAATACAGCTAAACAAAAAGGCTGTAAAAACAGTTGTTTGAATAAGTGTATATACAAAATCGTGATTTTGTCATTTTTAACAAAAACTTGCGCCAAGCGTTGCCGTTCACGTAATTTTTGTAAGAAAAATTAGTTTCCGACTTAAATGCTGTTATAACAGCGGTGTAGCATAGATGAGCTTTTCACTTTTGAACCTTTAAATGGATTGAATTTTTCAGATGCTCAGAGATATTTGCTCTTTGATTTTTGCTCAGATGTTAATTATATAAAAAACGCTTTTGAGCTTGAAAAATTTATCATTGTTTCGATTTTTGAAGTAAGAGATAGAATGTTAGTGCTTGATGTGATTTTTTCTCCAGACAAGTTTCGACTTTATTATTGTTCCGACTTTCGGTACGAAAGTAACGGAATATTTGTGCTCGGGGTGGGTTTTTTTTTCTTCAGACAAATTTCGACTTTTTACCTAGCCATTTTTGACGGAATTTATTTACATCATTCGAAAGGTATTGTTGTCCTGAGCTCAAATTTGAAAAGATATTTCACCTGTGATCATTTTTCGTAAAGTAATGGGGGTTTAAAGATTGCCATTTTGGCCAATTTGGGACAATTAACGCGCGATATATTTAGCGCTATTAACGCGTGAGCGGAGAGTTAATCCGTCTTAAAATCGTTCCAAATTGGTTGACAGAAGTTTATTTGCCATAATTGATTTGTTACAAGGAGCGAAATCTATCGTTTTATACTTTGTATGGCGTGTGGGATGATGATTTTCACAAAAAAAAATCAAATTTTAGAAAAAAAAAATTTTCATTTTATTTTTTCTTACATTTAATTTTTTAAAGTTATTACTGCTCCATAAAACCTTAAAAGGCAGTCGGAACATTCAGGGCTTCGCCCTGATACGAGCAGTCTTGTTGGCAATTTATAAAACAAATTGTACATAAGTTTGCCTGCTTTTGAACACGATGTTCTTATTCGACCTCGCTATGACACAGTCCTAAATTTGGTGCCAATGTGATCAAATGTTGAACGAGTAACAAATCTGTTCAGCCTCAAAACGAATGCTGATCACCGTCAGTCGAATGATAAAAATAAATAAAATAAGAAAAATTGAGAGTAGTTTGAGGCCAAACAAGGAAAGTTAAACAAGCCCTTAATGAAAAATAGATTCCCTATCTTCTTCATTTTTAAGTAGAATATCTTATGGTGGCTCTTTAAGCATCCATTAGAATAATTAACTGGAGCTGATTCACAATCAAATGCAATTAAATCGTCTCAGTGACTGGGGAAAACAAATAGTTCCGAGACATTATTTTGCGAGAAAGTTTTTCTTAATTTGGATACATAGGAGTTCGGAATTTAGTACCTAACTTGTCAGGTCTATATCGTTTAGCCTCAAAATCCAAAACAACTTCGATTTCAGTTCGGTTGACAAGAACTCAAAAACACTAACACTTCATAGCTTTTTATTCAAGCCGGACAGCCAACTACTAAGTTTAGCACAAACAGTCAAAACACGTGGCTATCCCGAAACTCAGACCCGGTGAAGATTAACGAATCCCCAAACTATTAAACCAAATTTACTCCTGAAAACAAAAACATTCCTGCTGGTTTACTACATAGAGAACATTGGCTGAAACCCCAAAGCTCGCACTTTATTCCAAACAATGCAACCCAGTTTCAAAGTATTAACCCACTCTTGCGAAATTCCATGTCTAGGAGAGACAAACGCCTTTCATGACACGGAAAAGTCCACAGAACATGCTATGGTTTTGATTAGCTTATCTTGAAACAATGTATTTCACTGCTTCAGGTATTTATAGAACACTTTAGATTCACGGTCCTTCATTAATCCTTGCCGAATTTAGTTTTCGGGTCTAAAATTATTTTGGCATTTGTTTTTATTTGGAAACAATTTCATTGATCGGTACTAAGCCTTGCCGGAACCCATTTACATTGTCTAGCTCTGAAGCACTTTGGGATTGAGTAACAGACTTGTTACTGTAAATGCACAGATCTCTATACTCAAGACAATTCAGACTTCTGCTAACGTGTTTAACAATCACGGATTCTATAACGAGCTGCAGTCAGATCGAATAATCTTCGAGTTTATCTGCTGGTGCGGCTGAATCCTGTGGGCCAGAACTGTTTGATCGTGCGTTCCATTTGCATTGCAATATAGGCGGGTCTATAATAACTTATAATAACTTATAACTTAATACACTAGTGGTCTTGTGGGTAGTAGTCCCATTCTACACTCTAATCTCATGCGCAGTATGAGCGGCAAGGACGACATTCCCTCTGGCTTCCAGGACCTCGAAGAAGTTAGTATTCTATCAAGTTATAACAGTCCACCCAAATTTATAACTTATCAATGACATGTAAAAGGTAACTGATAGAGTTTTTTGAAAAAACGGTCATCTTCTTAGGTCTCTCTCAGCGTGCTAAAATCCTTTGAAAAGCCGTACAGACTAAACAATAGTGAAATTTGTTGATTCGAAGCTAATTCTTAACTCAAAAATACAACCTTAAATAATTTTGAATGCTATTGACTATCGTTTCTTAGCATATAAAATGATCGCATATAACTTTTTGAGACCACAATAAAAAAACTGAAGTAAAACTTTGCCGAAGCTTCGAAAAATTGTAAGGCTTCCGGACAAAACAATGCTAAGCTGCTTATTCGTATTATTCATACCTAAATATACACAAGACTTCTCGTATCAGGGCAAAGCCCTGAATGTTCCGACTGCCTTTTAAGGTTTATGGAGCAGTTATAACATATAAAAAAAAATTAAATTAATTTTTTTTAATTGGATTTTTTTTTTGAAAATCATCCCCCCACACGCCATATGAAATACAAAAAGATAAATTTCGCTCTTTGTAATAAATCAATTATGGCAAATAAGCTTCGTTCAACCAATTTGGAACGATTTCTCAGACGGATTAAATCTCCGCTTACGCGTTAATCGCGCGAAATATATCGCGCGTTAATTGTTCTAAATTGGCCGAAATGGCAATATTTAAACCCTCATAATTTTACGAAAAATGATCACAGGTGAAATATCTTTTCAAATTTAAGCTCAGAACAACAATATCTTTCGAATAATATAAAAAAATTCCGACAAAAATGGCTAGTTAAAAAGTCGAAATTTGTCTGAAGAAAAAAAAACCCACCCCGAGCACAAATATTCCGTTACTTTCGTATCGAAAGTCGGAACAATAACTGAAAAATAACCGATATATTGGTCAACTATTGTTCCATTTCAGGTTGAAGCGCCTTTCGAAGTTCGAAATGTCGTCATCAAAAGTCCCCCCGAGACTGTGGACAAGTACTACAAAGCTCACGAGGAATTGGGGTCGGGTAAGTTCGGCCGGGTGGTGCGCTGCTCCGAAATAGTTTCGGGTCGCACACTCGCCTGCAAGTACATCGATCTCAAAATGAGCAAAATCGGAGACATTCTCAACGAAATCGCCATCATGCAGAAATTGCAACATCCGAGACTGTTGCAACTCTACGACGCCTTTCAGGAGTCGACTCGGATGATTTTGATTCTGGAGTTTCTGACAGGAGGCGAGTTGTTCTACAGAGTCGTGAACACCGAGTACTCGGAGCGCACATGCAAGTTCTACCTCATACAGTTGTGCGAGGCACTGAAGTTCATGCACGACCACAGTATCATCCACCTGGACTTGAAGCCGGAAAATATCCTCCTAGTCAACCCAGAGAGGTAAGTGCCGTCTCTCCATAAACACCAGGATGATCGCAAAAAATCAGGTGCCACAGAAGAATGTCAGATGGGGTCGAGTGTTATAGCATACCAAAACTTTTCAACTGTGATTTAAGTTGTAGCAAAGACGTTTCGAATCTTTGATTATTTTTCACATTCTTCTCGTGTTTTTGGGGTTTGAGATCAATTATGAAAGGTGATCAAATCTATAACATTTTCTAATCAAATTTAATAAATTTAGCAGAGTTGAGAAAAAAAGAATTTTCAGCTTTTAATCATCTCTTGTCAGAGACGCAGTAAATTTCACTAGCAAGCACCTACGACATCAAATCGACTTTTAGTTTGAATTCAGACGCAGGTTTGTACTACAAATTGAAAATAATTTCACTGCGTTAGGGACACTGTATAAGCAGATTTTGACTATCTGGTAGCCCCACAGTGGTTCCCTTTTGAATGAGGAAGGATTTATTGGAAAGCCTTTAACTACTTAGAAGACAACAGCTCAAATAAAAATACCAATTATTTTAAATATACCATCATAAGTTTTGCAAAAAATTTCGAAAATCAATATAAGACATTTTTTAAGGTTTTTTGAGATTAAATTGTTTTTCTGCGCAGTATTATGGCTTACTTAGTAAGCTTAATAGAAACAGCATTAACCATTTTTTTGTACATGATAGTTTTAACCAGAGAAAAATTTCGGTATTTGACCGTTTCGAACGACGACGGTTTTTTGCATTCATCTAAGTTAGCAAGAGCATTTGAACTTAGAATTGCATTTAGTGAAAGCTGAACTCTTTAAATATTGCGTGTTTCACTGATACATATGAACATCAAAAATCAACCTTGACCTACTTGATAACTTTTTATGACTTTAGTGTTTTTATTGGCTTAACATGCATAACATGCTAGCAAGTAGATCTTTTTAAATTTTCAGGATTTTTGAAAAAAAAACTACCTTGACTAATAACAAAGAGCATACGGATAATGACTATTACGGATAACAAAGAGCATTTTTGCACAACTACAAGGGTGCAAAACTGTAGCTTGTATGGCTAAAAGTGCATAACGATTGTTGCCAAGCTATCAATTTAAGCAAACCAAGTTAAAATTTAAACAAGACTGCTCGTATCAGGGCGAAGCCCTGAATGTTCCGACTGCCTTTAAGGTTTATGGAGCAGCAGTAATAACATAAAAAAATTAAATGAAATGAAATAAAACGAAATTTTTTTTTCTTCTAAAATTTGCAATTTTTTATGAAAATCAACCCCCCACACGCCATATAAAGTACAAAAGAATAAATTTCGCTCCTAGTAACAAATCAATTATGGCAAATAAGCTTCGTTCAACCAATTTGAAACGATTTCTCAGACGGATTAAATCTCCGCTTACGCGTTAATCGCGCGAAATATATCGCGCGTTAATTGTTCTAAATTGGCCGAAATGGCAATATTTAAACCCTCATAATTTTACGAAAAATGATCACAGGTGAAATATCTTTTCAAACTTAAGCTCAGGACAACAATACTTTTTGAATGATATGAAAAAATTCCGTCAAAAATGGGTAGTTAAAAAGTCGAAATTTGTCTGAAGAAAAAAAACCCACCCCGAGCACAAATATTCCGTTACTTTCGTATCGAAAGTCGGAAAAAAAACACTTACACTAATTCCGACTATATCCCCAAACTATGGCACAAAAATCTAAAAATTAGATTAATAGATCTAATAGGTACCGTAGGAAACGTCAAACTAGGTATCGTAGGGTAATTCCCAATTAATCCGTGCTAAATGAGTATTATCTGCGGAATCATCCTTTAATGATCTGCAAAAAACTGGTAAAAGAACTTGATGACAACGGCCATGATTACACTCACCATCATTGCCAGTTGTCACTTATTCTGAGTTCTCTGCAGCTTTACGATTATGGCCATTTGCCATCACACTTTTTTGTGACCACTCTCGGAGAATGGGAAGGAATTGGTTTTTTTCCAGTCAATTTTGACTGCCTCAATGAAATGTTGTAAAGGGTCAAGTGTAGAATCATAGTAGTCCCTTTTGGTTGCAATTCGGATTCCTACACTATTGGACAAAATTAAGCGCAAATTCAAGATTTTACTCTGTGAAATGCCTGTTTTCAATGTATATTTTGAACTACATTTCCGTCAAAACTCAGTAAAATTTTTACATTGACCGAGAACAAATGAGCAGAGCTACCATCTGTGAAATTATCAATATTTGGTTTCAATGACTTACCAATGTAATCCGGGTCTGAAAATGCCAGTTTTCCTCATCTGCACTAAGTTTTGCATTGTAATGAAATCTTTCTTGAATAAGCGGAGTAAAGAAGTTGTTCATGCGACGTTAGACATTCTCAGCGAGAAAATGGAAACAATCAGTGTGAAATTTTTAACTTAACTCAGACGTTTGTTACTTATTCACGCGAAGTAAAAAGACTTAGTGCAGATGAGAAAAACTGGCATTTTTAGAGCCAGATCACATTGCTAATTCATTGAAATCAACTATTGATACTTCTACAGATGGTAGCTCTGATCATTTGCTCACGGTCAATGCTAAAATTTTACTGAGTTTCGAAGGAAATGTAGTCCAAAATGTATATTGAAAACAAGCATTTCACAGAGTAAAATCCTGAATTTGCGCATACTTTTTTCCACTAGTGCAAAAGAAACATTAAAAAAACTTGCTCAGTGTCGAGAAAAATTGGTTTTCAGTCTAAATTAGACAAAAATTGATGATAGGCTGACCCGCAACTACTAGTTTTCTTTATTTCAATACCAAACATTTCAACTTTATTTTAGCCATGTTATTTCTAATTTGGACAGTTTCCCATCTAATTCAATAGGAATTTAGAAAAACAATTTAAAAAAACGTTTGAAAAAAGTTTTTACTTTTAATTTTGGTTTTTCTTGAGTCGTTACGTTTTGTACTACATGCACAGCAACCGGCTCTCTTTGTTTAAATTTAGAATAATAACAACCAATATGAAAAACTATCATTTCTAGTTTTAGTTTGTCCTAGTAGAATGTGGAGGCTTTTCAAAACAAAAATCAAAACTGAATGAATTTTTCGTGATACATACATAATTTCCCGCCAGTTTTTTTAGGAAAATAAACTGTGACAATTAGATCTCAGGGTATATTAGTTCGGAAAAAAACTAGAGTGCATATTCGCAAAAAGAAACTAGAGTGCATAATCCAATCCACAAAAAATACGCAACTGAAATCGAGCCTTGTAGGTGGAACAAAAATTGGTTGTGAACCCATTTGACATGCTGAATTATTTTACCATTATGTCGGTCACATAAGTTTGTTCACATCAAATTCATCTTTTGATCATCCTTTTATTAGAAAATAGAAACTGCTTGAGAGCGGTTAATGCAGTTCAAACTGAAACTACCAATATAATAGCAAGTTTTTATTCAGAGCAACTTTTAAAAGGTTTACAAACTGTTATGAGTATCAGACACTGTCCATTAGTTACTCTCCGAAGTGGAAACAGATTTTTGATAAGTAAAACGGCGTGCACTTAATTTGTAGGAAACAAACTTATCTAAGAATAGCCAACAGTATCTTAGAGTTTACCAATAGGACTGATTAACACGCTCTAGATTTTTAAATGATCTCTAATCAGATACAGCACAAAATAGTCGGGAAAAGTTACCACAAATTGCCACTACTAGATCAATTGGGTTGCATTCACCCCACACAAAGGCATCAAAAGATCGAAATAATTTGTCAGATACTTTTATTGCAAGTTTCGAAGAGAGAAAGCAATAGAAACATATCTGCTCGCGCGAGGCGACAATTCGTAACGGGCGACAATTCGTAACATGCAACAATTCGTAACAGTAGATTAAGCGGGGAACACTGATTGACGCGCAGTATTCTCCTCGTGCCTGATGTAAGCGCAGCGAAGCGAAGCGGAGCAAGCGTATTCTACTTGCCAATGCCTTCTTGCTAATTGTCGCCTCTTACGAATTGTTGCCCTACCATCTGCTCGGGGTAGTTTTTTCTTCAGACACGTTTCAGCTTTATATTTAACAACACTAGTAAAAATAATTACTGCAAATTAAGAATATCAAGGTTCTCAGCTCGAATATAAAAGTTTAATGTTCCCATTTTCGAAGAAAACGGAACATTTATGCTTGGGGTGGTTTTTTATTCAGTCAATTTTCTACCAAATCAATTTTATACCCCACTGAAGATATCGACTCCCTAAAATCAAATGTAAAAAAAAAAACATTTTGCCTATCAGTTTTTGAAAATTTCTGCTCGAAAAAATCCAGTTTGAAAGTTGCCAATTTGGGCATGCTCTGGACTAATTTGTGCGCGCTTTGAAGCATTGATTGTTCCGATTTTCAAAGAAAATGAGGAATATATATGCCCGGGGTGGTTTTATTCAGACCAATTTTGAAAAGTTGACTGCGTATGGGCATCGATCCGGAAATTTTGGGGTTGTAAGGCGAGTATGCTTGCCCTAGAGTAAAGTGCGGCTTTGTGGCTGCAATAAAACTTAATAACTTATTTAAATATATCGCGTTAAAAAGTTTAATAAATATATCGCGCATTAATTGTCCCAAATTGGCCAAAATGGCAATCTTTAAGCCCCATTAACTTTACAAAAAATGATCACAAGTAAAATATCTTTTCAAATTTAAGCTCAGGACAACAATACCTTTTGAATGATATAAAAAAAATTCCGTCAAAAATGTCTAATTAAAAAGTCAAAATTTGTCTGAAGAAAAAAAAACCCACCCGAGCACAAATATTCCGTTACTTTCGTATCGAAAGTCGGAACAAAAATACCAGCGAAAGTTTTTGAGTAATAACAGTTTGAAAAATGCAACTTAGGTCAATTTAAGTTCATTAATCTGCGGTACAATTCGTTCTACAAAGCTTAACCTGCGATACCATTCGTTCATTAAAGCTTAAGGAAAGAAATAACAGGGATCAGATATCATTCCAACTTTAATTGTTTCGATGTTCTTGGTAAGCTCGATCACCCTATAAGAAGCGAATTAGACACTTTTTTTAGCAAGCATGATATGGGAAGATATTGAAAAGTGTGAGTTTTTATCGTTTTTGTTTATAATGTTTATCATTTTCAACATCAAAAACTACTTAATACATGCTAAAGAGCAGCAGGAACATCTATGGTTTTGCCATGACACTAGAAGTTTTGTTGGTCTTTGCATTAGAACTCAGTTTTGTACACTTGCAAAAGCGTCTGTAATGCAACCAGCCACTAAATTTTAATTGTATCGGAAGAAAACAATTTTTTGTTCTCCGAATAATCAACAAGTTTTGTCAATCGCACTGATTTCGTCTGCTTGGTTTATTGTTCCGTCTTACGAAGAAAGTGAGGTAACTATATGCCTGAGATAGTTTTTTTTTTAAATCAGACCGATTTTACCAAAGCTGTTAGCGTATGAGTATCGATCCGGATTTCTTTGGATTGCCAAAAGAGTCTGCTCGCACTAAACTAAAATGTGGATGGCATCGCTGCTCGAATAATAGTTTTATAGTTTCAATAGGCTAACTTTACTTTCTTGTGTGGAAAAAATTATCCGCAATCATAATCGTTCCAAATTGAATTGAGGCCAATTACAATTGGTCATATTTATTCTAATCAAATGTTAGCACTTGTACAACAAAAACTAATCGAGACCAGTTAAGGGGCAGTCGGAACATTCAGGGCTTTGCCTTGATATACGAGCCTAACAATTGCCACCGCTATATTATCTACTAAAGTATGGCAAATGGCCACCCCTATAAAAAACAGTAAATTAGCACAAAAGCGTTATTTCGAATTCGAATATGTGGCCTGGACCTACTTAAAAAAGTTCCCAAGATCTACTTTATAATCGCCACCCCTATGGTATTTACTAAAGAATGACTATCCAAATAAAAATAAAATTAGCACAAAATCTTTCCATTTCTAATTTGAACTTTGCTGCAGCCTGAAAGTTCGTAAAACCATCCATAGCGCCTAAATTACAAGCTTCTGGTAGATTAAGTTTTGGCAAAAAAATTGCACCCCTAAAACACCCCATTATCGTCCAACCCACTCATTATCATGCAACTATTAAAAACTTAACGACGTAATGGTTCTCAAAACTTCAAGACTATCTGTCTAGACATCTTGGTCTTGACCTTAATAAACATCTTAAATTGAATATTGTCCAATTTTCAGATCGGAAAAAGCGTCTAAATCAATCAAACATTTTGCTTAACCATTGTCCTTAACACTTAAAATTTTGCTTGAGCACTGAGTCCGAAGAGCCTTTGGCCTGCGTTTAGAAAAATACTAGCAAGCCCGTCTCAAATAACCAATCGGCTGCAAAAAAAGAGTTGTCCTTTTTTGATCAAGCAAACCCAGCAAGAAAATTTTTCAAACAACTGTAAGTTACACTTTTTCGTAAAAAGGTTTAACAAATTCCCATGCAAGCAATTCAAGAAGAGGAACTTCGAAATATTTCAAGTTGATTAAAAAACCGAACCGCTCGGAAAAAATTTTTTTTCTCAGCAAGCTATTCAAGCCTTGACTTTTTGTAAAATTTTGAGTTTTTTCAAGAAGCAAATCGAATGGCAAAACAATTTAAAATTTCGTATTAAAGCCCTTCAAGCAATGAATTTTCAAAACATTTCAAGTTGTTTCTTAGACCGAATGGCTTTTTGAAAATTTCATGAACGAATCAGCTGGCAATTAAATAAAGTTTTTTTAAGCAATATACAAAGCGATGAAATTTTGAAATATTTCAAGTTGTTTTATGTAGCCAATCTTATAGCGAGGAATATAAATTTTTCTATGGAAGCCATTCAAGCAATGAAACTTGAAAATATTTAAACTTGTTTGTTAGACCGAATTATTAGGGCTTTCTAAACAAAAAATAGGGCTTTCTAAGCAAGCAATTTCAGCTATGAATCTTTGGAAGAGTTCAAGTTGTTTCATGAAAAAAATCGGATGGCAAAAATATTAATTTTCTCTATTGACATCATTCAAACGATAATACATTTTAAATTATTTCATTGGGCAAAACGGTTTGAAACCAAGTTATTCAAGCTATAAAATTTTGAAACAATTCAAGTTATTTCAGACCAAAATGTTTTTTTTTTTCAATTTTTCTAAGCTAGCTTCAAAGTTTTGACAAAAGACAAGTTATTTCATGAAGGGAATCGGAAGTTTTTCTAATGAATCCATTCAAGCGTTAAAATCGTGATATTTTTCAGTTTATTTCATAGACTGGATCGGTTAGCGAAAAACTCAAATTTTATTTTACGCGAACTGTTCAAGATATGAAAAATTGAAATACGTTAAGTAACTTTTCTAGACCGACTTGTAAGCAGAAAATCAAGTTTTTTTAATCCAGTCAGGCTTTGAAATACTTTCACTTGTTTCTTAGAGCAAATCAGTTTTTAAAAAGCCCAAGTGATTTTTAAGCAACGAAAACTTGAAATATGACATGTATCTTAGACCAAAATATTTTGAAATTTGAAATTTCTCAAAGTGAGGTATTTGAGCGATGAACTTAAGAACTTCAGGTTGTTTTATAGATCAAGTCCTCTTATAAAAAGTATAAATTTTCCTATGCAAGCTATTGTGCCAACCAGTTCACGACAAGTTCATATTTTTAAGCAAACTAATGAGGCAGTGAAAGTTCGAAACAATTCAAGTTGTTTTCTAGACCAAAAATCAAGCAATGAAAGTTGAAACATGTCAAGTAGTTTAAAAAAGCAAATCTATCTGCGAAAAGTTCAAGTTTTTCTTAGCAAGCTATTCAAGCGATGCAATCTTGAAATAATTGGTCCGCAACAAGTTTACGTTTTTATATTTAAGCTCAATTTAATTCATAGACCGAATCGTGAAAAAAATTATTGACAGAGTTAGTGGAAAAAATTAGGTTTTTCAAGTTATTCGATGAATTGATTCGGTTATGAAAAAAATTAAATTTTTCAAAGCAAAAAATTCAAGCCATGAAATATTTCAAGCTGTTTCATAGACAAATTGGCTTTCAAATATTTAAACTTTCTAGGCAACTTATTCAAGCTATGAAACTTTGAAATACTTCAACTTTTTTAAGACTGAATCATTGACAAAAAGTCCAAGCTATTACAGCTATAAAGTTTTTTCAACTTGGATCACACAGCGAGTCGCTTCGTGAAAACTTTCAAGTTTAACTAAGCAAGCTATTCAAGATATGAACCCTTTGAAATTAGAGTTTTCTACGCGAAAAGTTCAGATAATGAAACATTTCAATTTATTTCGAAGACCAAAATAGTTTGCAAAAAAAAATTCTAAGCGAGCTGTTTGAGCAATGAAAATTTCAAATACTTCAAGTTATTTCGTTGCAGGAATCGCCTAGCAAAAAAATAGTTTTTGTAAGCATGTAAGTTGCTTTTAAGGTGGTTCGTTTTAGACTGAATTGAGACTGTAAATGCAAATTTTTGAAACTGTGTAGCCTTGAAGTTAAATCGAATTCATTGTGTTTCAAGAGGTTCGGAAATTTTTTGAAAAAAAAAAAACAATTCTATAATAATACTGTTCTGACTTCAGATTGAAACAGAAACATAAAACTTATTGTGCTCACAAAGCGTGAAGCCGCCGCCACCATAAAATAAATTTGTTTATATCCCTTTGCAAAATGAATGGAAAAGCATTTGGAAAAACTCGTATAACGTTTTAAGTATTGGAAATTAAAACGACTTTTCTCGTTAAATGCGAATAATAACGATTCTTCTCGTAACGTAAAATACGAACGTACGAACAACTCTTCTCGTAAAATACGAATGCACGAATAACATTCACGAGAGATAACGAAGTTAGAAAATAACTTCTTATTTGCTACGACCCATTGGGAGATTTCCCAATGAAGTAAAATAGAAGCTGAAAACTACTGAGATTAATTCCAACAATTTTGTCTTACAACACCCCAACCTCTCTCTCTAAAAACACCATTCTCATTCAAAATATCTCAAAATCAACCCTTAAAAGAAATATTGAGTCTAATGGTAACTTGCAGTAAATTCATACTATCTTCTTTTCTAACAAAATATTTTCCAGCGAAGTTTAGATTTACTTTCTAAGACAAAAAATAGAAAAGACCCTATATTACTAACAAGCGTTTTGTCCGACACATATAAGTATTGCTAACGTAATAATACAGATTTTAGAAGATTCGATAGTTGCTCTGAATGAGTCTCAGACGTATTAATCTAAGGTTTTTGAACGTTGCGCTCGATAAACGCTTAAATTTAGTTAATTCGCTTAATACAAAAAATTTGAAAAAAGAATTCGAAGTTTTTCCTTAATGTGAAGAAAAACCGGCTCTTACTTTTTAGACAAACTTAGAGTGCCTAGTCACTCCTGAAATTGATTCATTTTAAGCTAAATTTACAAAAATTTTATTTTATTGTCAATAATTCAGTTTTTATTTTTTGTATAAGCTAATTTTTAGCCCCACACACCGCACGCACGCAAGAAAAGTTTGCAAAAAATGGGGTCGCAAACTTCTATGCTTTTTGAAGACCAGTTTTTCTCAAATATTGATGATTGATTTTCTTTTGACTTATCCTTCTAATCAAAATTAAAAAACGGCTTTAAAGCAGCTGAAAAATATGCGGGCCCATCTAATACACCAATCAGAATAAGGTACGGGCTTCGTTTTGTTTTCAACTATTGTTCATTTCAGCAACAAGATCAAAGTGATTGATTTTGGCCTGGCCCAGGAGCAGAAGCCAGGAGAGTCTCTAAAGGTGCTCTGGGGCACAGCAGAGTTTGTGGCACCCGAAGTCATCAACTACGAAGACATTTCAATCAAAACAGGTCACATCTTACGATCATCTCTAGCACTTAATAACCACAGCAGTAGTGCGGCGAGGCGGAGGGGTTTAGGACCTTGTCCAATTTGGTTGCAAATTTTCCCAAATGTAGCTAATTGAGGACCAATCTAATCTATTAGCCCTAAAAAGTTTCAAAATGCGCCTTAGGCGCACGAGTTTCCCCCCGTCAGGGATCCGACCCCCTGACCAAACAAAGGGTCCCCTTTGGTATTCTTTTATGACATATATTTTCGCCCGACCTTAAAATGTGTCTAAGGGCGCCAGTATATACTTATTTTGAAGGGGAGCGTGCTCAGAAAAAAAACACAATTTGTTGGTCAAAATTTCTGTACTTACTGCCAATAGTTTAAAAGCAAAGAATGGCTGAATTAGATGAAAAGTAAATGAGAAATTAGAAGTAATAAAAACTAAATATTGTTTACATTGGAGCCAAATTGAATTGGGATGTCAGCCCAATTCCTCTAAATTCGTCCAACATTTTCTTCTTAGAATCCAAATCACGACCAAAAAAAGCATTAAAGTGATACACTACTTAAACCCCTAAAACCATTTTTGAGGTGGACAAAATTGTCTGACAAAAAACGTAACTAAAGACAAGCAAGAAAACGACAAAAAGCAGCTCTATAAAGTGCAATAAAAAAAGGTAGAAATAAGCCTAGCTCTCGGATTCGAACTCCGACCTAGTGATTATGGGTTTCAAATCTAATCATTCAGCCACGGTCATTTAATGAGTCACAAACACTAGCCACAAATTGTGCAGAAAACAGATGCCATGGAATTTCCAATGATACAGATCGTGATGATAGCAAATAAAGGAACACTTTTAATGAACATTTTTCCCTTGCGAATCAGGTTAGAAAAAAAAGAAGTCCGTAGTCTAAAAAGTTGAACACAGAAACCAAGCGGCGCTTCGCATCACTTGCGACAAAACAACAGCGTACCATTGCAAGCTATTAAATTGTCAGTGAGATGGAAAAAAACTAAGTGGAAAAAAATGGTAATACCAACATTTTGATCACAGAAAAACAGACGAGAAACACAACCACTAAAAAACACGCTTTTAGTATTTTCTGAATTTCTAGGTCAACAACACGTGGTTAGACGCCAATTGATCCAAAAAACAAAAATTGCAAACAAAATTTTTATTTTTTATTTTGAAAAAAACAACAATTATTTTGGAAAAATGAAAAATTCAAACTCAGAAAAACAGACGAAAAACACAACCACTAGCAATAAGCACATTTTTAATAATTTCCATGCTTTCACTAAGCCATAACACGTGGTTAGACGCCAATTGATCTGAAAACAAAAATACCAAAGGAAATGTTTGCCATAAAAACTCAACAAGGCTTTGGAAATAAGAGAAACTCGATCGATAAAAAAAACAGACGGGATACACAACCGATATCATCAAGCCCGCTTTAAGTAATTTCCGAGCGTCCACTAAGCCAGCAACACGTCGTTAGATAACAATTGATTCAAAAAGAACGCCAAGGAAAGTGGTTGTCATAAAAAAAATTCACAATTTTTGTAGTACGAAAAAGTCAATGACTGAAAAACACGAGAAGGAGAGCCACTAGAATTAAACAAAGTTGTAGTATTCTTAAGCGTTTACTCAGCCAAAAAATTGGATTGTTACAAAATACGAAATCTTCAACCTCTGAAAATCCGACGAGAAATATAGCCACTACCATAAAACATGCTTTTAGTTCTTTTTAAGCGTACACTATGCCGAAAACTTGTAGACAAACCAAAAACGAAAAAATCAACAAAAATTGTTCCCAGGAACAAAATTTGTAAGATTAAAAATTTTGAATTTTTAACCTTCATACAATCAGCCGAGCTAATATAGTGAAAACATGAAAAATCACCTTTTATCTTTATACCCATGCAAAAAAAAATTCATCAAAAGAACAAAACAACAGCCGAAAATGTTTACAATCGACAAAACAAGAACCGATATCATCTAGGCCGAACAAAAATTCTAAGCGAAAGAAAACAAAGAAAAACGGACAAAATGCCAGTCAATTAAACTTATTTTGAATAAATACAGGATTTACTCAACGAAACTTGAGACTGGAATGAAAAGTAGTTACAGCGCAAAAAAGTGCGGGGTTGCAACTAAGCCGAAAAACATAAGCTTACAAACTACAAAGCCGACTAATGAAAATTTCCCGGAAATAAAACTTGAGACACTGAAATAAAAATATCCGGCTGGGACTCAAACCCCTGACCTTCAGTTTCAAAAGCAACTGCATTAACTCCAGACCAAAAGCGATAAGGCCTTTAAGTTGCTAAGGTTTGGTAATAAAGCAACATCAATTTCCATTACAAATATGTCAAAGGTTTTTTTACGGGAAAAACGCCTGATTCCCGATTACAAGACTTGCTCTCGCAAAATAACAAATTACATCAAAATTCACAAAAAACTTTTGGTTACAAAAAATCATCTTACGAAAGAAAGGCAAAAAACAAAAACATTTGGCAACTAAGCCGACAAACCATAAGCAGACAACCTATAGGCTGATCAGTATTTGATCTTAAAAATTTTGGAATTAGGAAAACCAGATGCTGGCCGGATTCGAGCATAGTCCTTTAGCCGCCTGCTAGTAATTTTTGTACCCCAGCGATTAAAACTGAGTTTTCAAGAAATTGAGCGTGTTTGGTTGCTGCAGAGTTGAACACGCTGGAGAATTGATTCAGTGATTTTGTTAAACTTGTTGTCATATTTCAGTTTGATAGAATAATCGAAAAAATTTAAGAAAAAAAATTCAAAAACTATATATATCAAAACAAAATGATAACAACTAGCTTTGAAAAAAAACAAGCAAAATCAATATAATCCAAAATTAGCAACGGAAGAAAACTTACCAAGCGATAAAAAGACAAAAAGTAAAGCTACGGAGAAAAAACCCTTTAAGCCGAAAAAACTCAAAAAAGACTGAAAAAATTAGAAAACCAAGTTCCCTTTCAGACAATACACACACGCACAAAAAAGAATTGTAATCATCAATTGATGCAATATCAGGCCGAAACCTAATAGGTCGAAAAAAAAGAAAAATTGAATCGTACAACTACAAATTTTGGTAAAAACAAGCTACTTGATAAAACAACAAATAATATAAAAAGCAAATTTCGAATAGGGAAGATATCTTAAGTGCTGACATGCTCACAATATATCTGTTGCGGTAATTCTTGGAACTGAGTTCGAGAAAAAATATTTACGTGAAAAGTTTGAGTACCCAGTTGTAATAAAATTTGGAAAATAAATTTTAAATAATTTGTTTCAGATTGTTTTTTTATTCCCCCACGAGCTAAGAGAAGTACAATTGGATGCAATTAACATCTAGTACGTATTATTAGTTCCAACTAGCTCGCCTCAAATTAAACTGCGACCATTTCTGAACCGGCTTAAATACCCGCTCACGCGTTAAAAGAACGAAATTTATTGCGCGCTAATTTTCCCAATTTAGCCAAATTTTAACAAATGATGAATGATGAAAATTTTAAAATTTTTCTGAATATTATGTGAAGTAAAGATGAAATTGCTCCAGCCTCAATTTTCCCAAGTTTCCATAACAAATAACAAGACTGCTCGTATATGAGGGCAAAGCCCCGAATGTTGCGACTGTCCCTAAATTCATATCGAATAGTTTTTGGGAAAAGAAAATAATGAAAAACCTGTAAATTTTGGACAATATCAAAGAGTAAAATGATGAGTCCTACAAAATTAATACGACCGATTAGCTAGCCTCAATTCAATTTGGAGCGATTTTGTTGCGCGGGATAATTCGCCACTCATAAACAATTCGGTCTACGCTCTCAGCATTAGAAATAAATTCTTCAAACCGCGCATTATTTAGGCCAGAACATGTCCAACTTGGCAATTATTAAACCCCCAGAACTTTAAAAAAAACTGGAGGTTAAATAGATTTTTTTAAAATTTAAACTCAAGGAGTTGATATCTACAAGGGGGTATAAAAAATTTTTGTTGAAAAAGATTATTTCGATTGGCGAAAATTAACTGAATAAAAAAAACACACCGAGCATAAATATTCCGTTTTCTTCCCAAGTCGGAACAAAAAGATTTCGACGCAGTCACCACCCAAACAGTCTCCATTCAAGGACAACAATCATTGGCCGGACCAGCAGTAGAAACTGTCTAAACGCGCGAAAGTTTTGCAAAACGGCAGTTTTTACCTGTTTACCAGAAGTTCTTAATGCTGTTTTAATCGAGCTAAAAACAATAAATATGAGCGACTTAGTAAAAGTCTTCGAAGCTTTCAAATACCCTCGCGAAAATCCTGCATCCACTCCCGTCAGAAAGTGCGAAAGGGAAAACTTTTCAGCCAGTCAAAATTGTACAACTCACTGATTTGTCGGGCGTTTGTCTTTCAGAATTGTAAAACGCGCAAAAATGTCCCTCGAAGTTTTCAATCAATTGTCAATTCTGATCTACATAACTTTTTGGAGGTCCACTTTTACACAGCTAGTATAAATTATTGTCTTTTGACTCCTCTGCCACGAAAAGGTTACCCTCCAAGAAAAGATGTCGAAACTTTACCACTTATATAACAGATTGTGCACAAAATAGATATGTGGAGCGTAGGCGTGATCACTTACATTCTGCTCAGTGGAATCTCTCCCTTCATGGGCGAAAATGTGGGCGAGACGTATGGAAATGTGGTCAATGTTCGATATGACTTCGATGACGAATCATTTGAGACCTGTTCACCCGAGGCAAAAGTGTTCATACAGGATCTGCTGATAAAAGAGCAATCTAAGCGCATTTCAGCTGATGAGGCTCTGAAGCACAGGTAGGCAAATCTGATTGGTTATAAAGCAACGGAAGCTACAAAAATCGTATTCTTTCGCGATCGAATCTCAGCAAGAAAAAAAAACTTTTGGACAAAATCTATTTCATTAATAATGAGGCTTTTGAAATTCATACTTTTATTGCGATTCATTTTTTAAAAACTTTTTCAGTTTTCAACATTTTCTCGCACGAATATATAGACCATTTGTAAGTAATTTAAAAACTAATAATCCGCGTACAGTAATTTTAAATTTTGAAAACCTATAAATTTTGAACAATATCAAAGTGTGAAATGTTGATTCGTACGCAATTAATACGACCAATCTGAAAAGTAGGGAGCGGACTTTTGGGTCGTAAAAAGGGTTGGGTAAGACAGTGCCGAAGTAAGAGAGTGCCGAAAACAAAAATTTGTTAAAGAGTGCCGAAAATGAAAGAAACTGACTTATTTGTCGTGAACTAATTGAGAAAAGAAAAGAAAGTTTTGTTTGCTCATCGATTTTGGCGCCAAAATTGAGTCTGAACAATTTGAAAAGAGTGCCGAATATGAAAGAAACTGACTTATTTGTCGTGAACTAATTGAGAAAAGAAAAGAAAGTTTTGTTTGCTCATCGATTTTGGCGCCAAAATTGAGTCTGAACAAGTTTCAAGTGTCATTATTAATTTTCCCGCCAAAAGCTAGCCTCTTAAATTGCGTTCCAATATTTCCCGCCTTTTTCGGCACTCTCTAACTTCGGCACTGTCTAACGCCGCCGTAAAAAGTGCTTTTTAAAGTTTTCAAGACTGCCAAAAACTTTTTAAAAAATAAGTGCAGAAAGCTTCAATTTCGTTATTGTAAAACCATAAACAAATCCTGTTGCACATTTTACAACAAAAAGAAGTTAATTTAACAATTTAACAAGACTGCTCGTATCAGGGCAAAGCAGGGGCTCCGTAAAATTTATTTCCATTATATGGCTACTAGCCCCTCAATTATTTCCCTAACTTTTTGGAATCCCTAAATAATTTTTATTTCTCAGAAAAAAAAATCATGGCCATAATTAAATTATTCCAAAATGAAAAAAATAAAATGGCACAGTGGAATAATGTGAGTTTCTCACAGAATTTTGGATATGAGTTCAGCGTCCCAGTACTCTTTGTTGACGCAAATACCCAATGTTGAGTTTCGCCCGACTGAAAAGCCGCTTGCATGTGTGCACATGCAGAACTGAAAGGTAAACAACACTGCGAGAAAGTAAAGTGGAAGGATTTTCGCAGCAGCTTGCATTTGGTTGACGTAATGAATGACGTAATGATGTGACGCGTTGTTCGCAGTGAACCTTAGATAAAATAATTTCTGGAATTATTGTAATATTCCTTACGCGAGAAAGAAATAGTTTTCCTAAAAGTTCTCGAAAAATACATAATTTTTATTTTAAATTAGTCGAAATAAATTATTTATCAAAAATTATTCCACTACCATTATTTTTACGGAGCCCCTGGGGCAAAGCCCTGAAGGTTCCAACTGCCTCTTAAGGTCCATAGAGCAGTAATAACATGGAAAAAAATAAATATAATTAAGAAAATGATTTTTTTTAATTTGAGGTTTTGAACCATCCCCCCATGCCATCCCCCCACGCGGCATACAAAGTGCAAAATGATAGATTTCGCGCCTAGTAACAAATCGATTATAACAATAAAGCTTCCTTCAACCAATTTGGAACGATTTCTCAGACGGATCAAATCTCCGCGTACGCGCTAATAGCGCGAAATATATCGAGCGTTTATTGTCCAAAATTGGCCAAAATGACAATCTTTAAACTGCCATAACTATACAAAAAATGATCACTAGGTGAAATATATTTTCAAATTTAGGCTCAGGACAACAATACCTTTTGAATGATTTAAAACAAAATCCGTCAAAAATGGCTAGCTTAAAAGTCGAAATTTGTCTGAAGAAAAAAACCAACCGAGCATAAATATTCCGTTATTTTTGTTACAAAAGTCGGAGAAATTATAATAGTGATATTTGATTTTCTCAGAAATGCTAATCGTAGTAGAGCTGTTCAAAATAGGCTGAGTGTTATTTCTGAGAAATGCAAAGCCCATAACGTAATGCATATGAATGTGGCTGGATATTTCTTTGATTAGAATTTGCATTTCTCAAAAATACAACATTTTAAATATTCTCTGCCTTAAAGCTAAGCGCTGAAAAAGTAGAAAAAAAATACTTTTTTCCGCTCCCTGCTGGTAAGCTTGCCTCAATTCAATTGGCAACGATTTTGTTGTGCGGAATAATTCGCCACGCATAAATAATTCGCGTTACGCTCTCAGCAATATGAACAGATTCTTCAAAGAGCTCGAAATCCAGTCCAGAACAGGGCCAATTTGGTAATTTTCAAACCTCCAGAACTTAACAAGAAATGATCAGAGGTAAAATATCTTTTTAAATTTGAACTCAGGAAGTCAATATCTTCATAAATTTGAACTCAGGAAGTCAATATCTTCAATGGGGTATAAAAAATTTTTTTGTCGAAAACGATTATTTCGATCGGCGAAAACTGACTGAATAAAAAAACCACACCGAGCATAAATATTCCGTTTTCTTCCAAATTCGGAACAATTTGAGAGTATATCCACTTATATAAATAAAATCACTCATTGTTTGCTCTTTGTGTGTTTATATGCAGATGGCTGCAGGAGATCACTTCCAACGTGGGCAAGAGTTTCAACAAGGACAAGTTGAAGAACTACCTCACAAGGCGCAAGTGGAGACGGGCCATCAATGGAGTGCTCGCGCTCCAACTCATGGGCGCCGACCTGGACATGCGGAAGTAGTACCATGGCAAAAAATATTTCAAACTGCAGAACAACAACCATTGAAGGATCAATAAACTCAATCAAACTCCATAGGTTCCCCTACCTCAACTCCTAACCTCAATATAAATAGGACCCTATTTGGTAGAAAAAAAGAAACATTGGTATGCGAAACGTTGAGACAAACGGTATTTTTGGGTTAGTGTTAGAACGGTGGACCGCATAAATTTGAATTTTTCAACTCAAGCTTCCAAATCAAAGGCAAATATATCATTGAATCATATCACCGGCAATTGAAAAGGCAGAAATTTACGAAGAAGGGTTGGAGTTCTTGGGTAAATGATCCCTACAATATTTTACTTCTATGAAGTCAGATCAGCTTTGCAAAAACTTTCGAAAACTGCTACCGCTAAGGCAGCTTCTGATGTATTTATTTACTAATGATGTTAACAGACTTCAAAATTTGTCGAGCTTACTTAAATTTCTTTATACTTACAGTTGAATTCCACAGAAAAGAATTAAATTAAAATTCTTATTTTACTAAAAAAAACAAGAGATCGGCCAGTCTTGATTCTGTTTCGCTATAAGACTCACCTTTGATTATAGATCTTTTCGATCTGACTTAGAGTAAAAGAAATAGTTATCAAATCATAAAAATAAAATGGATGGATTAAAACAGATTTTATTACATTTGATACGAAATTCTATTGTGATTTCGGCTTCAAGGTATGGCGAATTGTAGATTCGACAGTTTTTTGAACATCCACCGGTTCGAAGATTTCAGTAGGTTATTCTGAAATGGTTTCCAAAAACATGGTGATTGAACTATTTCAAGTTACGCGCTGCGCATCAGGCGATTGCGCGACGCCAATCGGGGGACTTTTCGAATCCCGGCTAAAAATTAGAAAAAGTGAGTAAACTGTAATTTTTCTACAATGGGCGGGAAGGGAAGTCAATGAGAACATAGATTTAAAACAGATTTTATTTGCTGACCACAATGCCGGTGGATCTTTAAACAGCAATTGACACTCTACTCGGACAATTTTGCGTGATGATTATGAATGTTAAAAGAAATCAGACAATAAACACATCACGGATTAGGAGAAGACATTACGAAAACTAGATAACGCAAATGAGTCAATAAATCTGAAGAAATGCAAATTCGCACGAACCGAGAGTGAATGGTTACCGCAACATAGTTGCCGCACCATTTTTTTATATATCATTTTTTTTGGAGAAAAGGGACAACTCAATTTCAGAAAAACTGCCGGGAAACAAAACCATCAGCGTTAACTATGCTTTTAGTAATTATCGAGCGGACACTAAGTCGGTAATACGCGAAAAGACGCACAATTATTAAAAGACGTCAATGAAAACTTTTCAGCGATTAAGTTTCAAAACTTTAACTTTTTTACGCCGCAACCGACCTGAATTGATTTTCAAGATAAAAAACTTTATTTACCCTTCAAACGGCGCAGAATTATTGAAAAATCCTGTAAAACATGAAACAAAACTATTTAGGTCGAACAATAAAGCTTTTAAGCGAAAACCAAGTTAGCTTATTTACAAATTACAAGCGTAAACAAACAACGCTTGCAACTACAACCAAATTGGCTGAGAGCACACAAAATCCGTGATGCGGCAACTAGGCCGACAAAAATAAGCAGACAAACGAAAGTCATAAATGCTGAAAAAAAACAAGGTTCTGCCGGTACTCGAATCACCGACCTTAGGGCACTCTAAACCAAGTGAAAAGGCGCTAGGCAAGATGTTACGGGTCAACAACAAATCAAGTTCAACTTCTTACAGATTCGTGAAAATTGGTTATCGGAAAAAGTCTTATTCCCGTTTACATGAAACTTGCTCTCGCGAATGTAAAAAATATATACTTTTTTAACACAAAAAAGCAATGCAAGCTAGCAGACAGGAAAAGAACAGAAGCTACGAACTCCCAAGAAAACGGGAAAATTTTCAAAGAAATTACAAGTAAAAAATTCAAAACAAAGTCTGGAATGTTCTATTAACGGAAAATTGGTCTAGAAATACATTTGGCGGCGTTTGATGAAAATTTAAAAACAACAATTTTCGAGCGAAAGAAATTGTTGTCATGAAAAAAATTGAACTATAATATCTATTCTGAGATTTTTAATGTTTTGTGCACTCCGGAGGAAAGCATACAACTTATGGTTCCCTCGAGTGACTCAAAATTAGGATAGTAAGCCAAAAAAATAAAAGCCGAAATAATTTCGGCCGAACATTTTCTAAGCAATTTTTTTTTAAATGAAAAAACACGAAGTCAAGGCTAGTAAACAATCAAATAGCAGTATTAAATGAAACCATAAAAAGCAACTACAATGAAAACTGCATAAAGCAAAAACAAAATTTATGATGAGGCAACTAAGCCGACAGAACATAAGCAGACAATAATAAGCCGACAATTATTTAAAACGGAATAATTCCCGTTTGAAACAAAACAGGTCCTGGTCAGATTCGAACCAAGGACCTTTGCCGTCCCAGGCGTAGTTGTTACTTACAGAGTATATGTGCCAGAGACACTTGAACATTTGAATTCATTATGAAGCAAGATACCAAGTGATTCTGTTTAACAAGTTGTTAACCCGAAAAAAGTCTAAAATTTCAAAGAAGGCCGTCTAAATTTTCTGAAAATTCAAGAAAACCAGCAATAAATGAACCCTTTTTCGTGGGAATTTTTTTTCGGGTGATCTATTGAGCTTAAAGTAGTTTGTTCTTTTCCTGAACCGTTTGTCACTTTTAATTTTGGTAATTCGGTCGTGATTATTTAAATCAGTGTTGTATAGAAAAAATACAAAATTTTATCTTCGAAAGGAGCTTTTACAAATTAACCCTTTTCTCCAGACTCAGACTAAAAATCATGAAACTTCTAGCAAGACCGCGTAAAATTGTTATCGCCTCAATGCAAATCTGGGATTCGGTACACCGTGAATATTTTGAGGAAACTCCAGCCGGTAAAAATTTGTTGATTCAGTTGTATAAATAGAGTTGAAAACTCGCGTGGTTTTTCGGTACAGCAGAAAAATTTCCGAAAGTTTAAAAAGCAGGAAGAAGAGTCAAAAATAGGAAGATGAGAGACGCCGATAGACAAAAAATCTTCCTGGTGATAATTTTAGATAAGATATCAATGCAAAATCCCGACTACTTAATTTCTATTTTAAACTTATCAAATCTAACTTCCTCCTTCTAATTTCCTCCTAATTTTAAGTTGGATTATTAAAACTTGCACTTTTTGCATCTCTTCTCTCTTAATTCTCTATTGAAAATATAGTTTCAGCTATGAGCACTGATAATTCCAGCCAGAAATTCAGAATGAAAATGGTCAGCTTTTTGTTATTTTCATTCGTTTTGAGTCTAACAAGAAGCTACAGTGTACAATCACCCAGATCTGAACCACCCAATATAACAACAGAATATGAAATATCCGAGAAAAGGACGACCGATGACATTCAGCCCAATTATGACCTACAGAAGCTGTTTATACTTCTAAGCGACAAACTTCAGAACTTATCCAAACCCAGGAAATCAGTGATGACTACACTCTACAAAGCACACAAAAACCAAGAATGGCACCCACTGGATAAACGACCAGCGGCTTTCCACTGGGGATAAAAGCAGAAGATGAACATTTTTTAACCATTCGATATATAGCGTGAGTGTCAATTACTTAAAAAAAGTGAAAACAAATTTGAAGTAATATTCTGTAATCGCATGCTCTATTTGTAGATGTGCAAAAACTGGTTGAAAACGACAAATAAAGAAAATGTTTGACCGTGTTTTTAACGCAGATCATTATGATTTTTTTCAGCTGCCAGCACCCTGTATTGGCACTATTTAGTAAATGATGCAGCTCCGTAGGCCATTATTAGATAGCGACAATTGATTGGCGACAGCGACAACTTGTCAGAAATTCGCTCGAGACAACAATTCGCCGATAGCGACAAAAGCGCGAATTCGTATACTTTAAAAAAGATACAATTATTTATGAATGTGGCTCTAGAAATTTTAGATATCAGGTCGGCCTCATGATGACTGTACGATAACAAATAGAAACCATAAAAAATTGTGGCTGAAACTGTTTTACGGCGGTCAATTACGTTCCAAGAACTCTAAAATTGTTCTTAAGGTTTCTTAGGCGCCAAAGTACACTAACTTTGAGGAAGGACTGCGCGCCAAAAACAGCAAAATTTTAACCCTTCAAAAAATACTCAAAAATGTCATTTTCCTGCCTTTTATTTACGGAGCGCTAAAACATGAGTTGCTGATCTAAAAATTGACGAAATTTTTCAAAAAAACGCTCCCGTCAAAACATTCTGAAAACACCACTGGTTTTTCGACATGTTATTTGAAATTATAAAGCAATTTTTTGAATTGTTTGGCCATCAAGAGGATCGTAGATTTGAAACTCGACTTGAATAATTATGATTCTTCAATCATAAGTCAATTATTATTATTACAGGAGTTCAAGTAAGGTGAGAAAAGAAATTAAATCAGATTGGATCTGACTCTTCATCGACTCCTATAGCGATAAATCTACTCCTCTGGCAGCAAAAGCTAAAACGTTTTTCTCGAGACAAAAAGAATTCATTCAAAAAAGGATTGTCTCTGAGCGCAAACCATGACTGAACGATTTGAAGTATGATATTACATTCGATCACTTTCAAGATGGATTGGCTGATCAAGATTGATCGCTTTCAATAAAATAAATTCATATTAAAAAGTTTTCCATAGAAAAGCTCAACAATTAAGGAAAACAACTTCTCTTTTTAGTGGCAAACACTCCACTAAAAGTTCTCTTTTTAGTGGCAAACACTCCACTTCTATGCTCGGCAGACAAACATTTTCCGAAAAAATGCATGCATTATTAGCCAAAATTATGGTTCTGATCATCACAAGAGGTGAGAAATTTCATCTTCGGGTGTGTTGTAGTTTTCTTTTTTTTGTTTTCCAGGCAAAATCAGGTACCACAAAAAATTGGAATGAGTCTAGTGATATATCTTATTCAAGCACTTTCAGTTGTGATTCGACCGAGATTTAAACATGTTGAAAAAAGAGTAGCAAAACTTTCACCAAAGCAGTAAAAAAACTTAAATTTACCCCTGGTCAACTAGTTTTGAAGCCTCATTTAGCGCTTCCTAAGCAATAAAAAATCTAAAAATTTTAGAACAAGTTTTCGAAAAATTTTTCCGATTTAAACAAAATTTTTAT